CTGTTTCATACTCTAACTCAGCTGAACACCGGAAAAACTTAAATTCAGCTGAACAGCAGAAAAAAACTTAAAATCTATTAACTTTAAAAAAGGGAAAAAATTCTTCATTTCAACATTTCTCGGGACGAGGTATTTGACACAGTAAGGAGGATACCCTGGCGTTAGCCAGACGATCCGACTTCATATGAAAAGGAAGATGCCCGGCGTAGCCGGGCATTTCATAAGAAGGAGGAGAGCCCGGCGTTAGCTGGGCGATCCGACTGGTATATATATAAAAGCTAAGCAGATACTCAACCAAATAACATCACAATTGTTGGGATATAAATCTCGCACACCGTCCTATTGAAATGGTTTTTTTCAAAAACCTCGCCTTTTCAGGTTGACAACGATCCTACGAAAATCCGGAGAGAAATAATCCTTTCTGTTTCAATTGAGCATGAGCGCAAAAAAGTGAAAGAAGTGAAAGTAAGAGAAAATGATATGGTGACAGCGATTTCCACTTCACCGCCGAAGAGGAACAAAGGAAAGGTCAGGCTCTGCTCGTGTTAAGGATGTTCTGCTCAACTCAGAGTCCTTTTAGTAGCGTGGTCGTAAAGTTGTAAGTATAATAGGCTGGGGGGCGTGAGCTCAGAGGCTGAGCAGCATGCCATGGTCATCGCAATTCAATCGATCGCAATTCACTGCGGTACTCCTGCCAAGAATGCGAAGCATAATCGCTATTTCGATGAGAAATTTTATACTTGATCCTTGCGGGCTTATGTCATTGAATATCCCTTTGGATTAATCCTGGGTTAATCCATTGTCGCAACTGTTAGGCTGCTTTCATAGTCCGCCGGCCGGCGTGCTAGCCGAGGCAATGCTAGAGGGAAGGACGGAGGCAGACCGTCGGTCGACGCGGTCGCGTCGCGCCCAAGCCTCTTCGAAGGGCCGTAAACAAAGAGAGACAAGATCAAAAATCATTTGCACAAGCCCCTGGTTGTTTGGATTTTGATCTTGTTCTTCTTTGTTTTCAGCTCTTCGAAGGGGCTGGCCGACCGTCTGCTTCCCTCCTCCCCTCTAGCACGGCCTGGGTCCGGGAACTTCTCCCCTAACACGGCGCACATGCCGCACCCGCCGCCTATCGCAGGATTGCGATGGAAGACTGGAGCGCGCAATTTGTGAGGTAGAGAGTCCTTCAACTATTTGAATTGGCTGGCCGCTCTTTTCAATTCCAATGCGATCTTGATCGTCGTTTATGTGGGAGGAGTCATTTCAATTAATCAAGTCTAATAAACATAAAAATGAAAAAGAAATAAAAAAACGATCAAATCTAATAAAAAAGAAGGGCAATTAACGAAAAATTCCGCGTCTTATCGATTGGCGGGGAGGCGGGGTGAGTACGGTAATTGCAGTGACATTTGCCACATGCCGCAAGGGAGAATGCCGCAATCGGGGAGAAGTTCCGTTACCCAGCACGCCTCGGCTGGCACGCCGGCCGGCGGGCGGACTATGAAAGCAGCCTCAAACGTAATTCAACCATCGAGGCTATGGCACAGAAGACGAAGTCTTTCGACGTCACCAATCCTGTCCGATCGATGCGCTGTCGCATTTTACTTCAATTCAGAATCTTAGTGAGGTTTGAATGCGTAAGTGGCTAATACAACGAATTGCATACACCACCTCCGCTGGCTAGGATATAGTGAGAAATAGTGCTTCGTCAATGATTTTCAAGGAGGAAACTCTCAAATCTCTCATGAATTCCTCTTCCTCTTCTTTTCATGATACTATGAATCGAATTGATTCCTGAACTCTATTGCATTAGACACTGAAGCAAATATTTACGTTTTCGAAGAGCGTCCAATGTACAACCCAGTCCTTTAATGCGGTTGATTGTTAGTAACAAGTGTGTTTGATCAACTACACGCTAACACCACAGCTTCGTGGCTTGAACGATATCACCTAGTGTTACCTAAGATTTCTTTAAAATATCTTCCAATCACTCATTCATCATTCTTCGTTCAGGGTACAATAACCGTAACATAAAGAGTGCGATCCCCAGCAAAGCCCACTCCCCCCTCCCCCACTGCTGTTGTTGGCACCGTGAAGCAGTCCGTTAAGTTTTGGGAAAGTCTCTACGGTAATATACTACCATAGCATCTGACCGATCATCTCTCTAAAGGTTAGCAAACGAAATCTAGTCTACTCTTTTGAGAGCCATTCTTCTTGATGGATCAGCATACTCGCGTGAGCTTGAAATCGCACGCCTCTACTTTGAAAGCGCCCAGCAGCCGTATGACTGCAACTGATCAGCTGCTTCCTTGGAAAACATGTTAACCAAGCACTCCCTGTGGGGTTTTCATGGCGAATCGTCATTTTCTTTTAACCGTGTCCTTTCTCTTAACCCTTATATTAAGGGTAACATTATTCTCAATAGTTAAGAACCGATCCACTTGAGCGACGAAGCGGATTCTTCAGCGCGTTCAGTCGTGTACAATGTACTAAACGCACTATGATAGATGATTAGTGGAATTGGGGATGAAACTCTTGTTACTTCACTATGCTCAACGATCATTGGACGTTTGAATGGATTTGATTTTCTGGCGTCATCTAAAGGTGATATCGAAATTGTTAAAACCAAATTTTATAGGATGGACCTTTAGAGCTGTCCTTCAAGCACTGTTTTTACTATTGTGTGAGAATGTAGTGACGAAGAGACAAGTTGGACAAGTTTCCGCAATGCTGGATGAGTAGAGAGGCTCTGTCAAACTTTGAGCTCTGATCGCACTCCTTTTGTACCGTCTTCGGCACAGCAATGTCCTATACTGATGATTACAGTGCCCTAAGTGCCGATGATTCCTTATATGTACATAGAACATTCCCTTCTGACATTGTCTCAGAATATCGCAGCTGTTAATTATCTCTGTTGAGGAAAGGTTATGGTAGCTAAGCTCTCCCGATATCTTACCCTAATTGTATGTGCTCTTATAATTATTTGCTGAATCTCTTTTCATTTTTGCAAGTGAAGTCTTGATGGTGCTAGTACCCTTCTTAAGGCATATCCAGACACGTGAGAATGAGAGAAGTGCCTCCGAAAAAAAGCCAGCAGGATACCAGTCGAAAAGACGCTGGTGTCTAGATTCCTTTTCAGTTGAAAAACGTAATTGTTAGACGAAGAAGTAACAAGTATCTCGTGGAAACAAACCGTCTTTTCGACACCCTCAAAGACTTGATGACGCACTACCAGAACCACTACGGAAGACTTAAAAAGGTGCTATGTTACAGAATGAATGCTTCCTAGCTATAGGAGATTTGGATGATTATTAGAGGAACGGACTTCCCATTAACAATCAAATCAAATACTCGTTCAGTTTAAATTCACTTTGACGAATCCAATCAAACAACAGCCATGGGAGTTTCTACATAGTGATGTGAGACAAGGTGCTCTGTTAGGACAGGGAGCATTTGGTGAAGTCAGAGCAGGAACATTGAAGCTGAAGACTGGAGAAAATGTTGATGTGGCTATAAAAGTTGTAAGTTCAAAGCTGAAAGGCGTTGCTTCTAGTTAGTAAAAGGTCTTTTTGCTGATATNTTAAGGTAAACAGGCCTCTTCTTCATTTTAGACGAAAGGATCGTCAGATCTATGTAAGGCGAAAATCAAGGAGATGATGAAGGAAGCTCGTCTTATGCGAAACTTTCAACACAAGAATATTGTGCGGATTTATGGTGTCGCCGTGGACGAACAGCCTCTCTACATCATTCTTGAGCTGGTGACCGGTAGGAACACTAGCTTTCAGCAAACTCGCCAGAGGTAGTTCCAAATCAGCTTGATGGCTATCCCTTATAGTGCAACAACGCTGACTTATTATATGATTACTATATGAGCTTCTCTATATTTCTGCACCATTTTTCGTTAGTTTTTTGCTCACGGTCATTCTCTAACAGTATATCATACCTCACGAGACTAGGGATTGAATCATCCGTCAACCTTCCGCTCCTCAGCCTTTCAACAGAAGGTACTAGAATGGCTCTTACAGATGACGTGCAACTGATAGATGATTTCGTATAGAAATGGTGCTAAAGGAAGCAAGAGAATCGAAAATCAATATCAGAAATCGAAAAGTCAAACCAAATATAAAAAATAAAAAACCTGAAAAAGCTTTTCTCGGAGAATCATGCAAACAGTGAAGGTTGAAAAACTGCAGTCTGTGATCGGTGGTTACACACATAGTAATTGAAAAATTAAAGATGTAATGAATGCGCATTACTTATACGATTACCTAACACATCTTTAACTCTGGAGGTAGCTTACAGCTTCGAGGGTGTATGCCCAAAGCACCCAAGAATACCCAAGAAGTACACCCAAGAAGCTGTCCAGTACCTACGTTGGAATGGATCTTCTAGTAATTGATCATCTTTTCCATAATGAGGACGTCATAAATTCCTACAGCAAAACACTCTATTCCATTGCTTAACCTGGAAAGGCTCGGGAAATTCATGGGACCTAGGTATATCGCTAGGGCTCGGAAAGTTATTAACAAATATGAAAGTTAAAACTGCAAAATAAGTTTACCAGAAAGGTTGTAAACATTCAAAGTTTGCATGCTTAAAGCATAAAGAATGGAGCAAGTTGATGAGCAGTTGCCCGTGATGGCCGATGGGTCATCGTGAAAAAAAAGAAACCGTTCCCTGGTGAGAATGTTTGGAGAACTTACGTCACGCGAAATTTCTGGGGCGCAAGAACTGAAACTTCCTGTAAGGCTCTAAATGCTGGGAGTGGCCATTTTTTTAGAGGTTGACTTTCGGGGACTTTCTGAGAAAGGAAACAGTGAGTATTTCAAATCGTGCTCTTCTCATCCACGCTCCTTCCTCAAAAGTCGCGAATCTAGCTAACTTTTTGAAATGTAAGCGTTAGTTTGGCGACTATGATAAGTATCCACATGATTCGTTCACTTTAGGTGGCGCCTTGAATACCTTTCTCAAAGCCAATGCTGGTAAGGTTGGCGTTATGGATAAGACGTCTATGTGTCTCGGAGCGGCTCGAGGAGCAGAATACCTACACCTTCACCATTGTATGCATAGAGATTTGGCTGCAAGAAATTGCTTGATCACTCGAGACAGAATAGTGAGTCACAAAAATTATGCCTATATTCCTCAGATCACCTTACTGCACGGCGGGCTCCTCCTTTCGTTGACAATCTCGGAATGCTCCGCTGGCTTTCCACTCTCCCTCAGAATAAATAAAACCTTTTTCTAATCACAAAATTGTCGAAGAGCAATGCCCGAGACTACGCTGGCATAAGAAAATGACACAGGGACATAAAGAAAGGTAGCTAGGCAAAAAGAACGCAACGGAATCAGTAATCATTGTGTGCAAGCCGGTGAGGCCTATTGATAAAAAGTCTCTTTCGCTTGTTTCTGGTTCAAAGATAAACATCTGAGAAATATTTTGATCTCGTCTGTATGTGGTTTACCAGCGTCGCAGCTTTCTTCAAACTCCACGAAGTAAGCCAAAGTCATAGGTGAGTCACATGATAACCAGAACCTTGAATGGTACGTACGAGTGCTGGCGACTGATAATAACACCATTATCAAAAGTAGTTATCCATGACCTTTCCTTTCTCCTTCTTCTTCTTCTTCCCATTCTTATTATTATTATTATTATTATTATTATTATTACTATTATTATTATTGAGTGTCTGTTCCGCTTGGAGGCGGGGTCCGCTGTACTGATATGTTGACACCACTTCTCCCAATTGGACGATTGACAATGGTGGATGTTGACTGCTTTCAGGTCTTCGTGCAACGTACCGAGCATCACTGCTTTGAGCGTTCTTTACACCGCTTTTCCGGCACGTCAAAGTCGTGACCGATCTTCCGACACTTCATCATGACCATACCACGAAGACAGACCATACCGTCCGGGACAGGTTTCGCGCATTTCATCAACATTACATCTACACCGACTCGCTTCTTGATAACATCAATACTTATTCGGTCTGATTGTGTTACTCCGGTTGTCCAGCGCAGCATCTTGATCCCCATAGCACTGAAACGGGTTTCAACCTCTTTGGTGGCAGCTAGCACTCAGCGTCGCAAATCGGCCGAATGAGGTCCTAAAGATCTTGTATCTGAGACGTTCAGGCATATTCTTATCATGGAGTGCACCAGTCATCGAACGCCAATTCAATCACGCTGCATTCATTCAAGAATCTGTTTCGAAAACCACTCTACCGTTAGGCACAATTGCCGAGGAGTAGTAAAGAAGACAAAGAACATATGACTCCCTATGACACTGCTGTCCTTCCTGCTCTGACGTACGCCTCGAAGACTTAATCTCCACGAAAGAGGATGAGCATGCAGTCACCGTCATCCAACACCCTGTAGTAGAGAATGCTCGGAATGTGCCTGGACACGCAAGTACAACATGGAACCCAGAGTTCCGCGCTCTATCAGCGAACGAAAATGAAAACAATTCCTGCCTCTGCCATGGAAACGAAGATCAGCTTCGCCGCACAAGTTGTGCGGTATCGTGTTGACCGTTGGACCAATGCGGTGACTGGTTGTATCCCTCAGGACCCCTCATTTTTTATAGTTAGTCGTATTGTATAGAGTAGTTCTACTCGAGATTGCTTCCGAGTTCTCGAGCTAAGTTAGCTTTTTTTGGATCTACCAAAGGGATCGTCCGGCTGTCGCGGGCTTTCCAACTTCCCTAAGTTCTAGTAATCGGCAAACCGCCATCACATTTTTGGAACGAATGATACTTTTCTGAATACGAAATTCGACACACTCTCTACAACTTTGACCTAAAAAGAGGGGAGCTGGTATTTATAAGCAGGACAGCGTCAGTGGTATTTAGGGGGTGCATATGCTTACTCCTACGATTAAAAGTGACAATCGGTTGCTTTTCATCTTGGAAATTATGAACCTTCAAAGGCTTAACTGATAGCCAACGAAAGAAGTGAGAAGTACTCTCAAGTGACAATAACACCATTATCAGATGTCGTGATCACTGGACTTTCTTTCCTCCATGAGTACTCATCAGTTGAGAATCCCAAATCATTGAATCCCGGTCAGATGAGCTATGTCGCAACAAAAAGTAACCTTGATATTCCGCTGAGTTACAAACCTTGCTTGGTAGCGGTCGTAATTTTATAGTCGTAATCATAAATACATCGCAAATACAACAGCTGTTAAATTCAGTTTTAAAGTGGCTTTATTAGTCGCTATCAGCCGTTACCAGTTCCTATTATCTGTCTGTGTTCGATACTTCGACTCCACATCACATGCAAGATTGTCAAGGCCCCAACTAATGTCATTATAGTGTCTTTACCCTTTCGAGAATTTTCATTAGCCCTTATCAGTTTTATAAGCTCCTGGCCTGGCACTAACCGTTCTCGGTGCCACCACCGCCAAAACGTTGTTAACACGAAGAACGTAGCGTCTTAGTTTTGACAGCTCATTATCGGACCGTATCAGTAGTTATGAGTCCCGCCACCGAGTACCTGCGGTCTTGCCACATTTTACATGGCCTATTGAAATTCCAAGTTTCCAATATTGACCGAAAGTGCGTTACAGATCTAGTGGCTCTCGCCTTCTATGACTTTTTATCAGTCCCTATCACTTGCTATCATCCCCTGTCGCTCACTAACGGTCCTTTCGCATCCTACTGCAATTACCAAGTGCCAAGACTTCACCGCTAATGCGGAGAGAGCTACAGTGGCTTTTGCCTTTTAGAGCTCCGTATCAGATTCTATATATTGTTGTTACTTCCTATCACCTACCATCAGTTTCCCATATTTCCACCTATCTCTCTTTCAAATTTGAATGCATCAGCTACAGTGGGACAGGAGTTACGAATTTCTGGTCGGACAATCACGTGCACACATACACGCACACAAGACCACCAATAGACACACTTAGCCGATTATAAAAGAAGGATGGGGAACGAGTTGTTGGCCGATAATATAAGTAAGATTCTGTTTCAGGTAAAAATAAGTGATTTTGGATTGTCTCGGATGGGAACACAGTACCAACTCCGCACATCGATGAGGCTACCCATCAAGTGGCTTGCCCCGGAGACAATATCCACCTTTTTGTTTTCTCTGAAAACGGACGTGTTCAGTTTTGGTGTTGTTGTCTACGAAATATTCTCTGACGGAGGTGAACCTTGGCAGGGCAAGACGAATGCTGAAGTCAAAGCCTGTGTTCGTGATGGACATCTTGAGTATACACATACCAAAACTTTAGATCTAGCTATGTTGTTTTGCAGGTTACTAATGGCCGCTATCTTGCCTTGCCTGAATGTGTACCTGAGGCACTTCAGACATTCATCTACGAAAGAGTTTTCGTAATGGATCCCGCGGAGAGAGCAGATATGACGGAGGTATGGTATGATGCTTGCAGCTATTTAATGGTAATATTTGGCATTTTCTGCTAAGGTGGTAAAGGAATTCGAACAATACCTAATAGATAACGCGCCAGCAGAAAATGTGTGGTGGTGGCGTCCACGTAGGAAAGTCCAGAGGTTTGTGCAAATTATTACATTATTGTTTTCCGTCAGTTCAGGTAAAACTATTTCAAAGAACACATTTTTACCTTTGTGATGTGGAACAACGGTTTCTCATAAAGTCCTCCCATTCTCTATAGATTCGTTGTGCTGACGCTCATTGATGCAATGCACGTACACTAGAAACAGGCAAAAAAAAATTAGCAAAGAGCGGTATAAGCCTGGTTGCCGTTCTATAACCAAGCTCTCCTTCCCTCCGTTCTTTTGGAAGGATTATGGTCAAAATGTGAAGGGCAGGACGGCAACCCTTGTCTGCGCTCTGTAAGCGAGTCAGTACACTATTGGCGAAAACTTCCATTCAAGCTTTTTGCACAAGCTCAGCATTTCGCCCGCCCCCGGTGCTCATTCCCTTCTTAGATCTCATTGGGAATATTTCTTGAGTGGAACAGCACTCGGAAACGAAAATTCAGTACTACATTCTTACAGTAATCCGGCATAGCATAACCCGATTTTAGTACGCCAATTCTCACCCGTCACATATACGACGCGTCGAAAAGGGGATAGGACAAGGACAAGGGGCGGTTATTGGCAAGCTAGGTTCGTTTCTGTGGAACCGCTGTTTGAGTAGTCAGTCAGTCAGTCAGCATCTACTAATGTGGCTAAAGAATAATAATATTTACATTGACAATGTAGTCATTGCCGATGAGACCTTTCTTGTCTGTAGGTGGATGATGATGATGAGAAACTTTTATGTTTTTCGATGATTGGAGGTCATATCAAGTTTTTCGCAACCGTTGACTAAGGCAACAGTAAATGTGACTTTTGATAGAGTTTCTAACGCTCAGACAACACCACATTTTTATTGCCAGAAATAGACCACATTTCAATACCATTATATTGTATTGGCTTGTATGAATCCATCCGAATGTGGTCTCTTTTTTTCGGCGGTCAATGTTACATACTGGTGTGCGATGGCGCCATCGCTATAACCAACTTGTTTTACGGCCGACTTGTCTTTGTCTAGAAGTCACTGCAATTCGCAACTTCTCTCACGGAGTGGTTAAGTATTGAGGCTCCATCAGAAGCAAAAACGCATGAGTTAACGGGCCTACTCCCTCGCGACTACTAATGTCCATCAATACTCCCTTGTGAGCTGCTATCGCTGCATGTCGCCAAAAGCTCGACGTCGTCCTGCTCTGGGCCTTCTCCCATTTCTTCAGCGCTTGTCAAGCTGATAAGCTAGGTACGCTTCCCTAGTGTAATGACAGCACTTCCAATTGAAGGCTTCGTCGTTATAGAGACCGTTTAGTTTTAGATCTTTCATGCAAGTTAATGAGGTCATGCGGAAGCGAGCTTTGAACGACCTTTACGCAGTTTCTTTAATATGGTATCCACACGTGATCACAGCCGTTCATCGCTGCATCTGAAATTTAACCAGAGTGCCAAAGATCGCCAGAAATTCAGGCCAATCTTGCACCCTTTGCTCAAATACACTCTCTTCTTCGCTAGCGGTCATTTCGCCGCCAGCATAAGCGTCCACAGCACTAGATTTGGAGATCTTGTGCAATAGCATCCGCTACGACAACGTATCATAATGGAGAAGCCTTGGTAAGCCGGAAAGCCTTGATGTACCCTAGTTGTATGTAGAATGCAACCATTCAATAGGTTCCGTGCTGTCGCAGGGCGTTACTTTACGCAGCAAGAGATCGGAAGAGCAGGAGTAAAAAAATATAGGCATCTAGTCACAAAAGCCTTCACGCCCTCGCACCAATACACTCATCGGGAAACACGGATTCTTGCACACGCACATCGACACACACCGACATATGAACATGCAGACACATACACACTTATACAAAACGGCACATACAGGCACTGATAGACCCACCAGCGCACATTCACAGCGACACAGACAGAAGCACAGACAAGCACGTGCACAAACAAACACATGTCGATACAAAAGCCGACACATACACACATCCACACACACCAATATACAGACATACCGACACTTACACCAGACACACTCACGCAATGATCACTCAGATATCGACATGAACACACGTCGACACATATACACACATCGATACCCACATACTGACACCCATATATTCCGACATCCACTGATACCACACATTCCGGCACACACATCGACACCACGCTAACGCACTCGCACATACAGATACACGCGCCAACACGTAAGACACACGTCTATGCACACATCGACACAAGCGCACGCCGACACACGAGCATACCGCCACTTCCAACGACACATACACCACCACACATACCGAAAAACACATCGCCAACGCTCATTACAGCAAAAGTACAGTAATCGAATTGTGTGCATATAAAAGGGTGCAGTGAGTTTCTGAACGACAAAGATATTATCAGAGCTAACAACACATTTTCCATTAAGGCAACAGCTGTGGATGGCTTAACCGCAGTAAGACAGTAAACTGTTAGGCTGTAAGCGTGCTCTGGATGCCTCACCAAATCAAACTGCAGAGCTGGCGAATGCTGACGTTTCAACCCAGTGTCGGCCGCGCCATTCAAGAGTGTGTGGCTTGGGGGGTCCGAGCGTGTTTTTCGCGGACTGTCGGTGCGTCCTGCCAGCGAGCACTACGGTCAAGTAGCAAAATAATTTTTTATGCATAATGCACTCTTTGAGATAAAGTTGCATTAAAATATACAGAAGAAGTGAAGTGAGAAGTCTTCCCGTTTTATCCAGTCTAGGAGTCTTCCTCCTGAACGTACGCGCTACGTTATATCTGCTCAACTCATTTCTAGAGGTTCGCGACTTTTGAGAAAAATCTTTGGTGGGTTGGTTGGAGGCAGATAGCATTGTTGTGATAAACCTTGTAGGATCCTCACTTCAAATTGTCCTCCGCATGCCTCCCTCTACAAAAACTATCAACAAATTGTAGTGAGAGCTCGGAGAGCCGGAGAAGATGAACTGGATGCTACATGAAACATTCGGAGAAAAGGCGTATCACATGGGCAAAGCTACAAATTTTTTTATGGCCAAGTTTTATCATCAAGGAATTTCAGGAGGAAGAAGGAATCTGCCATCAGAAGCGTGATGGCTTCATTGAAATTCTCACAAAAGTAGCTAGCTTATTAGAATGGGAAATGTTGCGTTAATCAATTGTACTGGTTAAATCGATATCATTTTCAATAAACATATTGTGTTCAATTTATGTCATACCTTCGTATTTCTCGCTGAATGAAAAATCAGGGCAGGTCTGTCCGAATCTTTGAATAATGGATTCACTGAAGCAAAAATATATGGCGTGAAAAATCTCATGTTGTATAACTGGAGCTGCTTTTCTATATCAGTAGCCGAAATATTGTGGGTACTTTTAAGAAACTAGCTTGAACGTGACAAGACGTCAACATTTCTCCACCCCTTCTTTCCTCATTATACTATTACCGGGCTACACTCGTTAACACGTGCATTACATGCCCACAGCCGTTCGTCTACGATCCTACATTAGATGCTCCTAGGAACATTGATCACGCCTGCTATACACGATACTGTTTCACCGTTTGTCTACACTCTCACTCGAGAGGAATCCGCGAGGTTTCACTTTTGTAAACTACCAATCAACAATGAAGTACCTGAAGGCACAGTTCACGATACGTTCAATGTATTCATTCAAAGGGAAATAATGCAAGCCGTGGTGCAGCATACTGCCGGGGTGGCTAAGAAAACACGAAAATTGAAGGATTCTGAAGAATATATGACTACACAATAACCTAAAAGTGGGTTGTACGAGATAGTCTTATTGTCTTTCACATTAACGTACTATTCGTCTTGTAACTAGAAAAGTACAGTGCATCTCCGAATGATATAACTACCTCTGTTTCCCCGTGAAACTCACAGTATACGATGTTTCTGCAAATGTGGCGAAGTAAAATATGCGTCAAATCTAAATTGCCATTCGCACCCTATCACTTATTTCCAGCTCAAGAGCACAAACATTTTTCTTCGTCAATTTTCAGTAAGGGGTACTTCTCCAGCGTCCCCAAATGGTACAGCCACTTCATGTCCTCGTGTCGTGTTTCAGTTCAACGCAACGAAATTGCTCCGTTTATGTAATGATCTTCATTTTCAGGAGTGAGAGAGGGAAAGTAGCTCTTGGAACTCGAGAATGGTCAAATCCTGGTGAAAAAGGAACAGGGACTGTCGAATTGCAGAATCGCGCGGGATTTGGGTCGATGCCACGCAGTTGTGGATAATTTCATCACGAACTGAAGCCTATGAAACCAGAAGAAGTGCTGGACGTCCTTCGCTACTGTTCGACAGAGAAAGCACCGCATTTCAGGGGAAGCGTCGAACTCCACCAAGTCCTGTATGGGGATTCGATTGTTCCTGATCCCCAGGGTCTCAAAAAACACTGTTTTTATGGTGACCAGAAAGTCCAAGTTCATAGTCAAGGGGAAAATGCGTAAGGCGCCCTTCATGACAAGAAGACATCGAGGAAATTGGGTCCCTTCCGCCAGAGAATGCAACCGAACTGGGTGAAATAAGGTGTTCTTCATGTGTTCTTCATTTATCCTTCCTTCTCTTGATGGTTTTTGTTCTTCAGGTCGTTTTTTCCGATGAAGAGAAGTTCAATTGTGATGGTCTCGAAGGGAACCGATTTTATTGGCACGACCTGATGAAAAAACTTCAGTTTTCTAGACAGAAATTCAAGTCAGGTGGAGTCATGGTTAGGACCGCAATTTCATGGAATAGGCGTGTCCGTTTATGTTTCATTCCAGAGAAGAAGAAGTCTTCCTCTCATCAGACTCTTACGCGCCGTGCGCTTCTTCCGTTCTGGCGTTAGAATAGGCAGCGAAACCTTGTTTCCATGCAAGATAACGCCCCAATTCACATCAGCAGGAGCACCCAAGCTTAGTTCTCCCACATGTGCGAATGGCAACTTAAATTTGACGCACTTTTCACTTCGGCGTTTTTTCAGAAACATCGTGTACTGTGACTGTGAGTGTTTGGTAAAGTTCGGGATAGCTGTGTCATTTGGAGACGCACCGTATAATAACAACCCGTTAGCTCGCCCGGCCAACGCGGGGCTTCCTTCCTTTTTGACAAAGTTGTAGTAATCAACTCAACTCAGCACTCCTTTTTCGGAACAAATAATGTTTCCCTGTACACGAAGTTTGACACAGGACTAAGAGGGCAATGCAAACGGTATTCCGTGTAAGTCGGTGCTTAGGCCTTCAATTAAAGGTCTCGATCTTTTGTTCTCTTTTTTAAAAATAAATAGCTCATAAAGATTTAACTATTAGGCAACCAAGGGCGGCACACACAACTGTTTCGAGTGATGATAACACCATTACCAGATATCGTTATCCATGCACCTTTTTTAGATGTTCAGATGTTTACTTCATATAAAAAATGTGGTTCATGTTTCATTTCACTTCATTTTTCATTCTTTTTTCAAGTCATTTCTTGTGATTTGAGGCGAGATCGGAAGCTATCCATGAAACCCGAGGATCCAGAAAACTAAATATTCCTCATATACGCAACTGTTTACGAGCGAATCTGTATGAATACTTTCGATGAAAGGCGTAGCTTTCCCTTGAAGCTCGAAAATCTTGATTGAAAAAGCAAGAAACCTAAAATCTCCGTAATAATATGCCCAATCCGGGATTCGAAAGAAAAAATCGCTTTCCCTTATGAACTTATGCATGCAATTTGCAAACTATAGAAAAGAGCTATTTGTGAAATATAGGTACATCATTCACTGACACTAGGAATTAACTCAGATTTGCTATTTTTCACTTTTAAAGGCCGCTCCCGTTCAGAGTTGGTGCATGACCAAGTTTGTCCATTTTAGGAAAAATAGGTATCAAAATGGTCAGTAAAACATGAAGAATGCGAAGGTTTACTTTTTCTTCAGTTTTGGGATATGATGGCTGTTTCATAATTCCCTGAATACTTTCAATAGGAGGGAATGCCTTCTGGTTATAATTATAGCGAGCGTCACTGCTACTGACGTGCCACCAGAAACTTTGATGTGCCGAGGACTTCAAACTTCAACTTTGTCAGTCTCCTTATATACCATTTCATAGAGCTCGTCGAGCTGAGTCGAACTATGTAACTTCATATATGAAAAAGTGTGAGCTAACCTGGGTATAAAGAAAAAACGAAAAAGACCCGAATCCGCTTTTTTTCGTCTTTTTTGGATAATTTTGGATGTTTGGATGTTGTATTAGGTTGTAAGATAAGTTCTGTTACACTTTGGGCGAATTTTTGAACTTTATATCTCTTTATTAAACGAAACTTTCAATCTACTATATGACCACCATTATTATCTAAAGCGTGTGCCCATCTTTCGGGCAGCTTCTCGATCCCTCTCTTCCAGAATTACGGTGGCCGCAACAAAGAATAGCGGTCGATTTCATTTTCGAGTTCACGACGATCATCAAATTTTTTGTCCCTTAGATGTTGCCTTAACGCTCTGAATAGGTGACGACCAGAAGGCGCTAGGTCCGTTAAGTAAGCCGGAGGCAACAGTACTTCCTAATCGAGTCCCATAATTTTTTGACGCGTTTCGTTGGCTACATCCAGGCGTGCGTTATCGTGGAGTAGGAAGATATTGGGCCTTATCGACGACAGCTCTCGCATAACGTCGGCCACTTTTTGGAGCTGGTTAGCGTAGACTGTGGCTATTACTGTAGTGCCACTGTCTAGCAGCCCCCACTAGATCATTCCACCGCAGTCCCACCAGCAACACAATAAAACCTTCTTCGCATGAAGGTCTACTTTAGGCTCCGTAGGTAACTTTTCTCCTCGCGCAATCCAGGCGCTCACGTGTATGGTTAACGTGAAGCACCCAGCTCTCATCTACGGTCACTATGTCTCGTAAGTCCTTTCAATTGGGACGAAGCATACGAGACTCCGTCACGTGCATGCTGTTCGTCTCGTGAAACAGGCGTGGTTCATGATCAGACGGGCGCAGTTCATGAGGGAACCCTTTCACGAACCCTTTATTATTATGTTTATTTTCAAAATCCTTCACAAACTCTTTATAAGAATAAGTCGCGAAAACATTTGAAAAGGGCTTTGGTTTTTTCCTGGAGGAACATGTTCAGTGTTGCAGGACTTATCTTCCAACCTAATATTTACGCGAAGTGTGGTATTGTGAAAAGGTACGTCAGGTTATACTGTTGAAGAACACGAGTCATAGCTGCTGTGCGGTAAGGGTGATAGGAGTTTCGGACGACATTATCTTTTGCTGTTCACTTGGAATCTTTTCGTAGAGTCCAAAACACCTCCACCTCTAATACCTTTCTTGCCGAATGCTTTGTCCCCAACACTGCACCTCGAAACTATCGCCGTTGTATTACCCAGCCTTGTATCGGCGAAGCTTAAGGTTGCTGCGCCCCATACTTGCTACGCATTCCTGATTCGAATAGATGCGTTAAACCTAGGACAAGATTCCGCACCGCGAGCAAACATAGTAAATGTTAAGGGCACATAAAAATGAGGAACGTTGGGACCAGTCGTTGCAAAATATTTTTGCACGAGATACAGCATTGATTTAAATTCGAATACACCTGTCGCGCCGTGGGAAGCGTCCCGCCGAGGCCGATCTTCATCGGTGGTTGCCCGACGAAAACTGCCACACGGACTTAGCAGGCTTGAGGCTGCCCCAGTCTCCCTCGCGAACTCCTACGGGCTGGTGCTGCCTCCGCAGTACGCTACGTACGCTGGTTTGGTACGTAGGTCATGGTAGAACCGTGCGACTAGCGCCGAGCTCCCTCGGACCTACCAAGGCCTTCGTACCCAACCAAACATGCTAGGAGAGTTGCGATATATATATGGATGTTACCAACACTCTACGAACTAACAGCACACATTATAAAATATACTGTTTATGGTAAACTACATAAAGAGAGAAAAAGGAGTTGAGTGCGAGTAAATATAAATGTTATGATACAAAAAGGTATTATAAAAAAGGCATGAAAATATACTTACAAATATAACCACACTCAACCTGCGGACTGGGTAGGATACTGGCTAATCCTAATCCGGGCCCATCCAAGCCATCCCAACCTCCTTCCGGCAGTGCTGCTCCAAGGTCCTTCGGTTGCTGCGGACCT